TATAATTCAGCCAATATAAATCAAAATTGAAAAATGTTTTACTTACTTTTTTACCGTTAACTTTTGTAATATAATAAGCAATTTTCTTTCAAATCTGGAATCCAAAAAAGGGGGGTTGTGTAGATAAAGGCCGTGAAGGTAAGGCTGATATAAGATTTAAGATAAGCTGTTAATTTCGTGAGCACCAAAGTAAAAACAAAGCATATTATATTGAAAAGAGACGTGATTTGTGAACAATAAGTATATTATTATTTACATGCAGACAGAAATGTTTACTTCATAAATTTCTACAACTCAAAGATAATCAGAAATAGAGAAAAAGTAAAGCTGAAAGCCGGCTTGAAAGGCCGCATTTCGTGAGATTTTGAGGATCGAGTAAAGACAGCTACCTACGCTGCTGACATTTACAGGTTTTACAGATTTATAAACAATATGCATTTTGCTACAGAACAATACAGAACAATACAGAACAATACAGAACAATACAGAACAAGAAGGTTTCTCGACTCCCTAAGAAGAAGAAAGAGAGGGCAGCCCCGAGTATGCCTCGTGACATTCTCAGTTGCCGTGGTGAAGAGTCCTAGTAGAACACTCAGATAGTGCCAAACAAAAGACATTACAGGGTGGAACAAGGATTACTTGAAAATATAGAAGAGGGGAACAAAGGACATTACAGGGTAGAACCTCGATCACTTGGAAATATAGAAGAGGAGAACAAGTGGGATTTGGTCGAACAGGGACTTTAACTTGTGTTAAATTTATGAATATGTAACTTATAAAGGAATGCTTGCCCCGCTTAGCAATTATCATGGAAATCAAGTCCAGAGTCCCGTCGCCTGTTATCCATTTTGCTCATACTATTTGAAAGTAGCACGGAGAATTTTGGCAAGACGACAACTCATTCGTCGCAACACTGGGGTTTCTTTACCCTATTCTCAGATTATGTATTGCATCATCATTAAGAATATTCAATAGATAAAATATGTCTAATTAAAAGTGCGGGGTGTTTGCGGTGTTTAAGCGGTTGTAGTGAATACTGAATATGAAGGCATTCACAAAATCATGTGATTTTGTGAATTTATAGTAGGGGTTGGTGACTGGTGAGTATAAAGGAGACAAAATAGCTATAAGATGGTCTTAGAGATTTGTCTCACTGATCTTGCTTGAGCAGTAGCAACCTTCAAATCTCCGATGGCCATGTATGTTGTATGTTGTGTTTTGATTCAAAGTGTAATGTTTTAGATTGAGACGATATATTGAAGTATTGACTGGTAATGAAATGTTAAATCGGTCAATAATAATGGAACAGTTGTTCTCAGATGAAAAGATAAACTTTTTGGAAACATATCCACTAATGACAATAACTCAGTGTGTTAACCTCATTTAGGCCGCCCGTAACCGAACTACTACATGACAGGACAATGTTTAAAGTCAACAAGTAATTCAGTCGTATTCAGATGGTGTGTTGAAACATGGTTGATCTCATTAAACTGAGGAACCATAATGTATAAGCTGAAAATAAGCAGCAAAAATGTAATCTTGCTGTAAATTTTAAAAATCAACATTGAAGTCACCAGTGACTGACTGACTTGACTTAAGGCGGCTTCAGCGTCCGAGTATTGATGCGCTGTCTCCATAAAACTCTATCCGCCATAAGTCCGCCCATTTCTCCAGTGTCGTTGAGACCCGTGTCAGCTCGTAGGCTATCGACATAAGTCATGGCTGGTCTCCCCCTACTCCGCACCCCATGAGTTGGTTCCCAGAGTAGCAAGCGGTTTGCGACTAGTTCTGGGTGCCGGTGGATATGGCCTGCTAGTCGCATCCTGCGCTCTTGGATCTTCATGGTTGCTCTTGGTAGGTTGCCATAGACTTCTTTATTGGTTTTGCGCTGCTTCCAATCCACATTTAGTGCCATCCTTAGCATTCTGGTGTAGCAGCCATCAATGCGTTTCTTCAATTGCTCTGTCAACGTCCACGTTTCAGAACCATAAAGAAGTATTGACTCCACAGTAGCAACAAATAGACGGATCTTTAGTCCTCTTCTAAGGTCAGACTTCCACATCTTCTTTAACTTGTGGCAGGCTGCCCAAGCCTTGGCTTTTCTGACCCGCAGGTCCCTCTCTGTTGTTGCTATCCATGCTCCAAGGTAAACAAAGTCTGTCACCTTTTCCAGCTGGTTTCCACCACAACTATTGAGACTACTCGCCTCCTCTGTCATGTTCAGAGTCATGAACTTAGTTTTAGTGTCGTTCATGGCTAGCCCAACACTCAGTGCTGCTTTCTCAAGCCTGTCCAGGAGTAGTTTTGCCCCTTCAATGGTATCAGTGATAAGGGCAACATCATCTGCAAACTCGACGTCTGCGATCTTCTCGGCACCAATCCTTCTACTCCGTGCAGGCCTGAGAGTGAACCCAGAGTCCGAGTCATCATCGTCTATAGTCACTGTCATGATATAGTCAATCACGATAATGAACAAGTACGGGGCAAGAGTGTCTCCTTGCAGTACTCCAGCCAGGATATCAAAAATCTCTGTTATACCATCAGCTGTAACTACTTTAGCCTTTGTGCTTGTATATATACCCTCAATGAGCCGCACTATGGCTTCTGGTATGCCATATGCTTTCAGTATCTTCATGAGCAAGCCTCTATGCACACTATCGAACGCCTTCTTGAAATCAATAAAAACCATGGTGGCCTTTAGGTTCTTGGCTCTAGCACCCTCCATAATTCTTCGTAGAGCAAGAATGTGCGATGTTGTAGAGCGCCCAGGTCTAAAGCCATTCTGGTTGTCCCTTAAAACTTCCTCAAGACTTGGCTTCATCCTGTTCAGCAACATTTTGTTCAGAGTTTTACTGACTATCGATGTCAGAGATATTCCTCTGTAGTTGTCGGTCTTAGTGAGGTCCCCTTTCTTTGGCACAGGAACAATATTACTGAGCTTCCATTGATCGGGCATGAGACCATCACATAGTGCATCGTTGCAGAACTTCAGGATGACGTCATCAATGTCCACCCTCTTCATCACTTCAGGTGAGATACCATCATCACCATAAGCTTTACCTTCTACTATCTGCTTTTTGGCAAGACGTAGTTCCTCAATGGTGAACGGGCCATCCTCTATATTCAGTGGAGGGTGTATATTCCTGATCGGAATATTATTGTCAGGGACTGTGGGTGGCTGTCCAAGTAATCCAGAGAAGTGCTTCCTCCAGTTCTCGAGACGTTCTATTGAGCTGCCCCCTTCAACGAGTCCACAGCTGGGATTTGTCCTCCCTGAAATATCGTTGACAAGCTTCCAGCTTTCCTTGTTCTTACAACGATCAGCAGTATCCTCAACTTTCCTGATCTTTCCTTTCAGGATCTCCTCCTCTACCTCTTTGTAGCAGGCCTTTAACAAATCCTTTTTAGTGGCGACTTCCTCTCTCTTCTCCTCGCAAGGCTCCTGATGGTATTGGTCCTTGGCCAAGAAAAGTCCCCTCCTTGCACTGTCCACTCTTGGGTCACTTGAGGGGTCAATCTGCTTTTGTCGAGTCTTCTTTGGCAGAAGGCTCTTGTTTGCCGCCTCAATAGCAACCATAAGCTTCCCGTAGCTTTCAGTGGCCCCATCATCCTCCTCTACCAGGCCAGAGAATCTATTCCGAACTTCAATTGCATACTTTTTTTGAAGCTCACCATCCGACTTCAGGGCACTATAATCATAGTTAACTTTTTTCGGAGGCCTGTGTCCTTTCCTAAAGCTAACTTTGATCTTACACACTACAACTCTGTGATCAGATCCCAACGACTGAAAAGTGTTGTAAACTTCAGTGTTCTTTAAAGAGTTTTTCCACTTCCGCCGTATGAGGATATAGTCAATCTGACCTTTGTTAAGTGTCCCATCGGATAAGAAGGTCCACCTCTTGTTGACCTTCTTTCTGAAGCGGATATTGGTAATTTCCATATCGCACTCCAGGGCAGTGTCTCTCAGTAGCTCTCCATTCCGATTGGTACGAGTATGAAAGTACCAACGGGAATCTTCTTCACTCACCTTTCCAAGCCGGGCGTTCATATCTCCCTCTGTGATCAGCAGGTGGTGCGCTGGCACATCGTTCATAGCCTGTCTAAGGGTGTTATGAAAATCCTCCGCTTCTTCAACTAGTGCTGCCTCGGTCGGACTATAAGCAGTTATAGTTGTGAGTCTGGGATTCCCATTGAAAGAGAAAGTCAGCACCCTTGAGCCATAGGGTTTAATGAGGCTGATTGCGCTGTATGCTCTTCTAGTCAGCAGAAAGCCCACTCCACCAGTGGCTGCTCCTGCTCCATTCCTCCATGCTGAAACAGTTACCAAGCTAACCCCCTCCTTGAACTTTTCAATCTTGATCGGCTCCTGGTGGACAATCCTATGTTCTTGGATCCCAAGGATCTCCATGCCACTCTCCAGAAACTGAGTCACGAGTTCAAGGCGCTTGTAACCTTCTCTAGCAGTTCGGACATTAAATGTCCCTACTAGAGCTACCTCACTACAAGAAACCAATGCATCCCCATCCTTTTTTTGGTGGTTTATGTTATTTTTTGTGCCGGGTGAAGGAGCCGGCATATCATCTGTCACCCCTCTCCTACCAGTACCACTTGTTAAATACTATTATCGTGTGACCGCAGCTTTACGGTTAGCTAGCTTGTTTATACTTATAGAGTAATAATATATTGCTCACTTCTCTCACGTATGCGAGAAGCTCGAAAAGAGCGAAGGCCGCGCAATGGGACTGGCGTGCCAGGTAACCGCAGCTTAGCGCGATAGGGGGTTATTCTCAATTTCACATCGCTAAACTAGCAGTAACTTCATGTCAATAGATACTGATTATCGTCGACTATCCATTGTCCATGAATACATGTTAGACAGAATACATTTGGATAGCTACTTCAAAGAAGCAGTTGTACAAATACAAACAACGAACCAAATCTTGCTAATTATTCGTTATAGCCTTATATATAGCGTGACCCGCCGAATCATGTTGTCACACCTCAAATTATTTGTTATATAGTAGTGTTGAAAGTATTAAAACTGCTGATCTAATTTAGCTAAATCTTCAATTTTGTTAGCTTCATACAACTCGTGTTCATATTGGTGTAAATAAACATTAGCCTTATGGGGAGCACAGCTTGTACCCATAGGAATACCTATAACTTGTCTATAAATACAATTATTATGTTTAACATACGCGCGCGAGCTCAAGCCGTCTGTTTAAATTAAACCACCTCTAGTAACACCGCCATGGTAGTAAGATTTTCTGGGACTGCACAGAAGATGAATCCGAGTTCTAGTTCGTGGAAACATTTGTGACAGAATTAAAAACATATTTTTGGCTATATATGTCGGCGCGCCATTGCAAACGCAAGCAGCACGGGCTTTAGATAGAGCAATTCTATTATATATTTAAGTTTATATATTTAAGTTTGTAGCGCGATGCGTTACTGTGCCGCGCCGCGCACTTAATAAGGCTTCTCACAGCTAGATCGGCGAAATGCGTTGATTCACGATGTCAATCCTTCGCAGCTCGGTGAGGCACAGTGGTGCATCTCGCCGATCTACCGAAGAGTAGATTGCGAGAAGCATTATTTGATGCGCGCGCGACCCAGTAGTGCATCGCGCTACAACGAAATGCGCTACTGTGCCGCGCCGAGCTGCCATGAATTGACATCGTCAATTAATATTTAAGTTTAACCATGTATATGTAACGTACAGATACCGCGCGCGCAGGCATTGGGCTTGATTTATAATGTCAAACGATCGACGATTAGTAGAGGCTCTTACGGGCATTGTCTGCTCGATACGCTAGGGACCCCAGATACACCTTACTAGACGTATTTTTGACCGTAGAATCGATTAAAAGCAGTTTCAAAATGATTGGACTGAGTTAGCACCGTTAAAATTGCAAAAAACCGATTTTGAGGCCAAAAATAGGCCAAAAAAGCATGTTTTTTGATCATTTGAGCAAGTTAATTTTGTTGGCATGTCGGCAAAATTTGCATGAAGGTAGCTTAAAGACAGCCGCACAAGATGGTATAAAAATAAAACAAATCCCTCTATTTTAGTGCAGGTAAAAACCCAAAAAAGTGGTAAAAATTTTGACTTTTTTGCTTGAAGTTTGAATAATTTTTTGCAGTTGTATTAAATCAACCCAAAAATAGTCACATCGTGTTTGCCTAAATTTTTCCTTTCCGAGAAGTACCCATTTCATATACTTAATCGAAGTTTGAATATTGTCACTCCGCAAGCGTTTTTGCCAAATTTTCGACGCGCACTACGCGCAAAAGTATTTAGTTGTTATCAATTGGCACCCGCGCGTTCATCATAAATTTCAAACAGCTATAACTCAGCGAGATTATGTCCGTTCTAGCTCATATTTTCACACCAAATAGAAAATAATGTGATCTTATTGCTGACAAAATATGAATATAATTACTTTATTTGCCTTAGAGTAATAGACTGTCAAAGTTTAAAACGCGCATTGGTATAGCACGTGACTGATAAGGCCAAATTTATACTTCTTAACATATTATCGATCCTTAGATATCATACTATTGTGTCCAATAAGCGGTTAGGTCTCTGAACTTGTAGCAGAGAACACGTCTTTTTGCCCGTAAAATCCTCTACTAGATGTGAAGCAACGTTCTTCGATGCGAAGCAAGAATGCTAGTTTGCGCGGTGCGTCGAAGCGGCGAAGTCCTCCAAGCATTGGGCATGGGCGGCAAATTTTAATTAAAATTCCCTCCGCAAACAATCGTGCGCGCGACGTTGTCAAGGCAACCTGGCAAGTATGAGTTGCGCTGCACATTATTGCACGTGGGCGACATAACAGCAACTACTATAAAATCAGTTGCAAATAGCCACTTTGTCAGTTTATCTACTATTATATTACAAACATTTTGTTCATTGTTACAATTTCAAATTTCATTTATTTGTACATAACACTTTCGAACTGAGGCGTGACGGCGTGTCTGCACTGTAACAAAACCGCAACGAAGCATGTGATAACACCAGGACATGGACATCACTATCAGGCATTGAACAAAGAACATGAAGCTAAGATCGGGAGGAAATTAACGGGTGATACTCGCGTAGAATATTTGTTCCATATATACTTATAGGACCGTCGACGAGTCCAACTCGGCGCGCGTCCTGGTAAGTTGTAAACCTACAAGGAGGAAAGCAAATAAAAATAAAACCTGATTAACAACAGCAAGAAAGCATTAAGGTAGCATCGATGGCAAATAAGGATTTTCGTTAAGGAACCCAGGCCCAGAATGAATGGCGAGTGCAAAGTGTCAGTAACCCATCACCCAACGCTTTTTCGTCGGAGGAGAAGCTTGTCAGCATTTGTGAAAAACCAACAGCAACAGAAAAAGGTAAAACCGTAAAATTCATGTTTGTTCACATAATGCTTTTCTATTACTATATATTGTCTCAGCACCACTGGCTAATGGCTCCCTGTATACCTGGCCATTTGGTTTTGTGCCTGGCCTAGTCCGTTGACTATTTTTTCCCGATCCATGACTCAAAGTGCCGAAGGCACAAAAGAGTCAAGGACAAGGGTTAGCGAACGAGGTTTTTTGTTGTATATGGTAGCTTGCGACCGTGCGAGCGTGCGAGCGTACATACGTGCCCTCGCGCACTGTTATCGCCCACGTGACTACCTGCGCAAAGTTATTTTGCGTAATTAATTCAGATATCTGAATTAAATAATTGTTGGCGCGCGGCGCTGAACTGACCAAGTACATTATTAATTTCACCATGTACATATCCCACTAGGCACTAATTGATAGCATACTATTATTATTTTGAGTTACTATTAAGCTATTTTGCACAGATCCGTGTCGGGTGTCAGGTTGCATAAACAATAAGCAGATGGTTACATAGAAATATACACGATTTTCAAATTCAATATGGAATTATATTAACTTGGTGGCGCTCGGCCTGTCACTCCGCCATATCTGCATGCTTATAAACAGTAAAAACTGGGGTCCCTAGGTTGTATGGAATATGATAAAATACGCCATCACGGATCGGGAAATTGAGCGGCCATCCACACAAAAAAGCGGCCGCATTTCTTGTTCTTCATGGTTAATTGGCCCTTTCTCCGCTTTTCCTTTTCTTCCTGTTTATCTACCTTCCTGTCTACCTGGCTCTTTTCATTAGTTTACTTTTCTTTACAGGCTTTAACTCTCCGTGTTTTTTTTATACATTTCCTCTTGACCACCTGCCCTTGAATTTACCTGTATCTTTATACATTTCCTTTTGCCCACCTGCCCTCGTATTTACCTGTATCTTTATACATTTCCTCTTGACCACCTGCCCTTGAATTTACCTGTATCTTTATACATCTCCTCTTGCCCACCTGCCCTCGTATTTACCTGTATCTTTATACATTTCCTCTTGCCCACCTGCCCTCATATTTACCTGTATCTTTATACATTTCTTCTTGCCCACCTGCCCTCATATTTACCTGTATCTTTATACATTTCCTCTCGCCCACATGCCCTCGTATTAACTTGTATCTTTCTATGTGTCTTTTATTTGTCTTATCGCTTACCTGGCTTCGTGCTTACCTGGCGCTGTCTATGTGTCTTTTATTTGTCTTGTCGCTTACCTGGCTTCGTGCATACCTGGCGCTGTCTATGTGTCTTTTATTTCTCTTGTCGCTTACCTGGCTACGTGCTTACCTGGCGGTGTCTATGTGTCTTTTATTTGTCTTGTCGCTTACCTGGCTTCGTGCATACCTGGCGCTGTCTATGTGTATTTTATCTGTATTGTCGCTTACCTGGCTTCGTGCTTACCTGGCGCTGTCTATGTGTCTTTTATTTGTCTTTAATTCCACGAATTTATTTTTAATGCAATTTCATTAACTGAGATGTTCATTGATTGGTCTTAAACAAATTTCTTCTTATGGTTATTAATAAAAAGCCCAGTGAAAAAGATGATTGAAATTTGTTTCTATAGATAGTGGTTGTTGGACGTTATCTGACCAATCATCTAATCACCAATATTATTACAATAATGTCCATGGGTTAGGGTATTTTAATGTGTTGTGAGACAATCACTGCTAAATGGTTCCTTAGTTCCATGGAAAACGGCTTCTCTATTTTGCGACCGCAAATTCCTGTTTTTCTAGACTGTTGAGTCGTTCTCATGATTATAATAATTGGGATATGAAAATGTACGCGCGGTACTTTAAATTGAACTGAAACCAATCAATCAATTAATTAGTTAATTAAATCAATTAATTCATTTCAATAAAATAATGTTAAAATTTGTAAACACGAATCTCTTATCTGACGATAATAACAAATTTATAGTCTAATCTGCTTTATACTTTACACCCGGTTAAGAGCCTAATGACAAAGTGGCATTGACAGTCTGGAAGGCTCTAGAGGACTGAGTAGAAGAGTTGTCGTCCCCAGAACCGAATATCTCCTCTCTATTGTACCACAGGAGAAAGGAGACTATACCTGCCAGACCGAGGAAAAGGACGATGAGGATCAAGAAGGCTAAGCAGCGGGACTGTCGACGGGAGTGTTTCTTCATTTTCATCTGAGGAGCAGGCGGGTTTATAATTCTATAATTGTTTAGTTGTGTGAACTACTACTTTTGATCATTTTGATTCGGAGAAATTTTGTTCAGCTTTTTAAATATCCAATTTCCAATCAATAATACACCATCACTGCGACATGGGGGTTGATAACACATACCTGACTCATTTGCTGAATAACTACTGGATCCGTCTTCTCATTCAGAAGTTTGAGCCTCCAGATGGTTTTGAAAGTGTCCTGTCCGTCAAGTACAAAGGGTTCTGGTTTGGGGCTAGGTGTTGGGCTGAGCGGGGGACTGTTGGTGCGGGCTGACTCGTACTCCACCAGTCGTACCTCACTCACCTGAAGGAGAAATATTCGATCTGTGAAATAATAATTCATTAATTAAGTGCAGCTGTAATACTGCATACCACCAAATTACCACAAACTATCGAAACATCAGAATCATCAGAGTCA